TGCTTCGATCTCTCGTTGCTCTCTGCTCGATCTTGCAACTCTGAACGTAATATTTTGTAATAAACTTTAATTTTTATACCAAATTTAAATATAAACTGTAATATAATATAAATATAATACAAATTTAATATAAATTGTACAAATCGTACATATCGTATTTAGACAGGCTAAAACCAAGTTAACTTTCCAAATTGCTTGCGGATATTGAGGTTGTATTTATTCTAAATATTTAAAAAATCATACATTTCTATATACGAGGGTAGATTAAAAAGTTTTCAATGTGACCAAGAATGAATGAGAGTTCAGTAAAATTTCAATACTTGTCTAATGTCTAATAGATGACACACACTGAAAAAAACACAAAGATTTAAGTTTGATATTATTCTAGAGATTAATTTGTGCTTGACTTTCTCTAATGACAAATACTTACATCCCAGCCTTCAAACATTTTTTGTTAATAACTTTTTAATCAACATCGACGGCCAGCTAAAACTTTATTACTCAAGTGATGATCTTGATAATATACGTTAACAGTATTGAGATCGGAAAGTAGTCTTTAGAACTATATAATTAACAAAGTTGTTTTCTGTATATATAAAACCAATCCTTTTTTCTCTATGTAAAATTTCAAAAAGTGCTGCAAAGAAAATATCCCGTGGCTAGAAGTCGAAATCAAACTTTCTGTATTTCTTCCAATAGCTTTATTAGATTTGTTTTATTTCCCTGCATTGGCTGCACTAGTTCATTCAGTCTATATCTTTTACCTTCTAATATGGATAAAAAAAGATAGATTGTGAACTAGTGCAGCCAGTGCGAGAAATAAAACAAACCTACTGAATACTAAAATCGAAACGTTTTGTTCACAATACAAAAGTGTTTGATTTTGCAATATACCGTGCAATGGTTTGTGACAGCCGATTTTATTAACGTACTGTTAAAACAAACCTATTAATTCGGCTACTAACAAGGAAATCTCTCGAACTGGAAACTTCTGATTTTGATGAAATTTTGCATACATGTAGGCGATTAATTAATAAATGTAAAAATTTTCGGTAACGGCAAAATCAATTTTAAGGAGTGAAAGCATTCCTCATATGTAAAGAAGGTTTTTGCTTTTTTTAATATATATCACAAATAATTCGAAATATCAAAAAATGTTTTATACAAAAGTTTCATGGTAAATAACATCGCTATTTAATCATCTTAATAAAATCTTACAAAAATAATTTTTTATGGATTTATAAAAAAATTGTTTTAAAAAATTATTTATATTGTACCGGCATGTTATTATTGTCGAAATAAATGAGTAGTTTTATTATTATGTAATTTTAAATTACTTAATATACGTGACATCTCTTTTGCTCGCAATTGATTTTATATATATTCTTTGGTTTTATTATGTTCAAAACCTTCGTACTTTTATTTTCTTTTGCCGATGCGAGAAACTTTCAGTAACGGATGTTCACGCTTTGCACTGAACGACAATATCAACGTCGCACGCGTGTATCCAATTCTGCCAGGTGTTTTAGATGTCAATCGAAACTGCTAATAAAATGACTTCTTAATTTCGATACAGATCCTAAAACAACGTTTAAAAAATTTTGAGTATAACGGAAAGAAAATCACAAAAAAGTGAAATGTCAAGACCCAATTACGTCGTGCGAGAGACGACGTTTTTGCCTGTTAACATTGTTACCTGCCTATGCTTCAAGAAATTATTATATTACAATTTTTCCATGGCTTTATTTCACTAACTAGACGGGCAATAATTCTAAATTTGGTTTTATAATATTTGTATGTTGGTAATTTCTTGTATTCTAATTTTTTACTGTTGCAAGCAGTTTGACAACTGGAGTTAAAATTGCTTTTTGTGATAAGTTCACGCACATACCACATATGTAAAAAGTATCATTTAGAATTGCAATTATTTTATCTTTGAAACGATCAAACATTTAGGAATTTCACGAGCACTTACAAATAGTGGAGTGCAGTAACGCTTTTATCTCGGAACCTAGTTATAGTGAATGGATTTTTGTGAAACTTGTTTTATTGTATTTGTAATAATGAATAGTAAAAAGTTTACTCATTAAAAATTACCGCTTATGATTATTTAATTATTTAAACAAATAATTATTAATTATAAAAAAATCCATAGTTTTGCAATAGAGTCATTAGTTTTTTTGTAATTAGTCACAGAAACATAAAAAAGACAATTTTTAACAAAATACGTGTAAATATTCAAATTTATACATGTTATATATGTTCTCAGCAAATAATTTGGTTGTCAGATGTCGCGATTTTGTCGCCAACCGTCACACTAAATCCATATCCATCTGTGTCCTCAGTAGGATATGGTTTTGGTAAGTTTTGATGACCATGTTGCGTTTTTTGTGTCTGTGTGTTAACAGCTTTGGCAGCACACAAAGCATGTTTCCGTATTGTAACGTTTCTGCACACAGTTTCTGTTGCCAGGTTTGCGCAGTCAGAAATTGTTTGCTGGGTTAGTCCTGAAAGTAGTTTTGTTTTAGAAGTCATGTGTTATTTAAATAATTAAGTAATCATAAACGATAATTTTAAATAGATAAACTTTTTGCTCATTATTAAAAATACAATAAAACAAGTTTTACGAAAATCTATTTATTATAACTGGGTTCCGAGGTAATAACTGGGTTTTTTATTTTTTGTGTCTAATTGCATTCCACTAAAAGCCTTTTGCTTAACTGAATAGAAACCTGTAAACCGACATTTAAAAAACCTAAATTTCTCTAAGTTTTAATTTTATTTACTGCATTACATGAAAAGTGCTTTTATAGATGCAAATAAATATAAAATATTACATAGTGCTTTTGAAAATGGATATATAATGCTCTTTCTTTTATTCATAATGATAGCATATGATAACCTATACTGTCATCACCTATGTCATAACCTATACTGTCATCACAAATATCTTTTTTTCTCATCAACTAGACATTCTGACCATATAATCTGAATGTCTCATTATATTCTTTTTTGTTGTACTTTTATTGCTAGGTAAGTTTAAGTTTACAAATAATTCTACCACATAAATATATAATGATGTTATAAAAGAAAACTAGTAGTAAAAAGTTTTGCTTATTATCGACAATCAAAAGTACTTAGCGAGAAATGTTGGCACAATTTATTTATTTCTGTAAAAGCATGTTTGATTTGATGCAGTAAATACGACACCAGTGAAAATCTTAGAAACTGTTTATAGGTCTCTATAATCAGTATCCAGTACTCTCTTAATACGTTGCTCAAAGTTGGAAGAGTTGGCAAGTAACCAATGTAATCCAATGCGATACTTAAATAGAACACCCTTAAATAAAACAACAACTTTAATATATTTTGTCAGTTTTCCGCAATTTGCAAAATGTGAATTAATTTTAACCCATCTAAGTCCCCTTTAAATATATTGTTACTGTTAACATGTTGTTTGTATGTTCAAGCCAAACAAGAAAAAAGAAAAAAAGTTATTTTTGACAACGGACTAATAACATCAGATTTTAAGAGGTAGATTTACAAAGATATCGCAGAAGTTCGAGCGTGGGACTCTGATTCTTTGAAATTATCAAGCGTGTTATATATAACAATGTCCGTGGTTGAACATAACAATATATAAATTAGTATAGAATATGACTAAATGTGTTGTGTGTGTGTGTGTGTGTGTAAATACAATGTTATAGATCTTGCGTGGATGCGTACACTTTGTGCATGTGTAATCAAAAAAATTTTTATTTTATACAAGATGTACTTTAGGTTGCGCGCTCGTAATCAGCATCCCCTGATAGCCAAGTATGTTTTGCAAAATCATGTAACTTAATGCTGAGCTGAAGTTTTCAAGTAGTTGCTGTGTATTTGCTGAATACATGATGCATAGGTAACAATCATACGTAATCGACAACACGAAGGCAAATTTGAGACATTTTGTGTCAGCAGATTCAGAGCAAACAAAGAGCAACTATTGCTCATTACGTTGTCAACAAAATGACTTTTATTCATAGAAAACTCTTTGCTTTATCATTCGTTTTCGGCAACATAAGAGCAACATGACGATAACAAAACAAGACACCGATGTCTGTACTTCTGTCGTATGGTTGGTAAAAACTGTTGACATATATTTATTCTATCTTGTAGTCCATTACATGTCGAAAACGAATGACCGTCTTTTAGAATAAGTACACAAAAATAATTATATTTTAGTAAGGAAGTAGTCTCGCGGACTGAGCGCAGGGATTGCAAATATGAAGGTCTCGAGTTCAAATCCTACCCATCACCTTAGGATTTTTTCCGGGTCCGGTACCTTTCATCGAGTTAATCAGTTGATCGGCGAAATAAATCAGATCTCCAAAGATTAATTCGAGTGAAATCTCGAATTAATTAATTCCCCTTTTACAGAGCGATGTGTTAGTGAATATATATTTGTCCGTTTTCGACATATTGTATTTTTGCTGAAATTTATGACGTGTTGTTGGCAACTTGTTGTCATGTTGCTCTTTATGTTAGTGATAAACCGTTGACAACAAATACATAGCAAGTTGTCGGCAACACATGTTGAATACGTGTCATGTCAAACCAAAGACAAATGCCTGACTTACCTTGTTCTAAATTTGCTGAAACCTCAAGCGTTTTGTTTTCGGCAACATGACAGCAAAAACACAGACAGGTGGCTATCAGGGTCAGTATCGCTAGACAAGAAGGGACGGATGTCTTGCGATAGTTATTTTAGCTTTAGCTCCTGACTTATCATTGCATTTATATTGAAGTATGACGTCAAAAACATAAACTTATATATATAATATCATATTCGTGAGTAAGCTTAATAGAATAAGTAATTCTCTGGCATATATATATATATATATGTATATCCTAATAAAAAATCTAATATCATATAAATAGTACAGATACACTTTAAATTTATATAAAGAAGCAACTTGTATCATTACATTTATAAAATAATTTAGGTTTCTATTCATTTATACATTTTGTATCATTTGTATTCACTGTAATTAATTTGTATAAAATATACTAAATTTTCTCTTTATAAATCGTGCAATTAGTAGATAACTGCTGTAATAGTATGTAGAGCGAAATACGCAAAAGAAACTAATTTATCTCAATAAAAAAATAGTATAAAATAGAAATTCATAAATAGTATAAAATAAAAATTCATATACCATACCTTTGTTTTTTAGACATTATACTTCAATAGCTAAATTCAGAAGCCTAATATATTAACACTATCCTCCGGGCTGCAATAATGCGATATTTGTATTGACAAAATATCCTTAATAAGGTAGTACCAAAAAGAAACAAATTTAGAGGCACGATAGGTTGCACGTTGTCTGTTTTTATCTCTTATTCAATACTGTCTACAACTGCACTATCGTCCAGAGTATGAAGCCAATTGAAGATCATCATATTTCTTTCGTACTTGGATAGTTGATTCCCACGTTCTCTCTCTACATCACGAACTGTTAGTGCGTGATTCCGCTCTTTCCGTCCAATCAGGGAAGCACCAGACACTCGTGCAGCTGTGCCGGGCACCAATAAAGTTGTTCCATGAGAAGTCTGTGCTGCAGTAGCTGCTGCTTCTAGTTGGTCTAAGTTAAATTCACTTTGCGAAAGACGTTCCAAAGCACGATATGTAGTTAGTAGCCTAATAAACATCATTTTTGCTTAATTTTATTATTAAACTTGTATAGCACAACTTTTTTTCGAAGAGAAAAATGCAAATTATTATATTACTAACCTTCGTCGTATATAGTTTTGTCGAACTTTTTTATTGACAGATCTAACAAGATCCGCTCCGGTAAAGGGAACAGGTGGTGGAGGAGGAACTGGAGGTTGCGGCGGTAGTTGCTGCACCGATTGAACGTTTGAGGAAGAGTGTTGCGATTGTTGTTGCACTTGTAATTGTTGTTGAGATTGTTGCAGTTGTTGCTGTTCTTGTGCAGCACTACCATGTGGACTAGGAAGCTGAGATGTACTAGCCACTGGTTCACCTACAGCCACCCATGTGCTACAAGATCTCGAAGCATGGCCCAGCCTAGCGTGCTCCAGTAGCAAGGTATTACGCTGAGCAGTATCAAGAGCTAGAGCAGACACCGCCGTTCGGAGGCCACTGGTTTCCGTCGCATCCGGACTAGGTAGTTGCGACACGTCGCTTGTACTAAAACTCTTGCGCAATCCTAATGCCGATGACAACATTCCGCAACTACGGATCAACTCGTTCTCCTCCTCGAACCATAGAATCTCAGGTATGTCTGCTGGCCTAGCAAAATATACAAAAAAATAAGTTAGATAAACATATTTATATTGTATTTATTTTGTATCATATATTTATATTGTATATATTTATATTGTATTATTAGCAAAAAAATATAAATATTGTTGCGAGACCGCCCGGTATGCACGGCCGCGTTATTCGTGCGGCGAAAAGAAGAGAGAAGTTTCCTTGATGATGGTTGTTTATGGCGGCGTTTGGGGCAAAGACTTGAAGATTCCGCAACGTGTAAACACGCTTCGATGACTCGGGTGATATATCTGTTTGTAAAGCGAGTCAATAAAGTTCTTCGCGAGTCAATAAAGAATCGCGCCGAGGAGTGCAGAAGTGTCGTACCGCGCGTGTGAGAGCAACAATATATATATGTTATGTAAGTAAGCTCGTGAAAATATAAATATAAAAAAGAAACAGGCCGATACGAGCAAAAACTAAGATAATGTGGTTAAAGTAATTTATTTAAATAAAAATGTCGAACGTTTTGATCCAAGATTGGATCTTCTTCAGTAACATATGTATACAAATAATACGCGAAAATACAAATTAGATAGTCCATAACTAAAATCAAAAAATAAAAATAAAATTGCAATAGAGAATACCTGAAGAAAGCGGATGCAGCCAGTGTAAGTCTCCAAAAGTCTGGTAATTGGAAAGTAGTCAAAAATAATTTAAATATAAATAATGTCAAGAAGATGGTGTACCACGGACACAAACAAAGACTATATCAACGTACTGGCTAGGCATACGTTTTACAGGTTTCTCTCACAACGAAACAAGTCAAATGACAAACATCACGCGCCGAAATGAGAAAAACAATGAGGAAATGCAAACAAGACAAACGATTATTTCGATTTGTAAAACTCCAGAAAGGAAAAATATGCTTTGAGTTTGTCTGACATAATGTTGATAGAATTTTTCTGCAATTTAATGTGAATCATTTTAGATACAAATCTCTGGAAAAAAAACTCAATATCTACAATCTGCGTATTTTTCCAGTCGAAATGATCTGTCAATACGATTTTGAGTGACAACAGAAATATTCTCTACATTGTGGTTCAATTGATTTTTATGTTCTGCTACTCTTGTCTTGAGCATCCTCATTGTTTGTCCAACATAAGAGACGTCACAACCGCCATTACAGTTTATAAATTACATTTTTTTAATGGTGATATTGTGGATCTTTAAGAACTCTTATAAATCTATTTAATTTATTTAGACGAAAAACCAGTAAAGATTTATAAGTTAGTAAAAATTTAAGATCCCTCCTTCTTTTGGTTCTTTAGATATTTAGAAATTGCGAGAAATAAACCGTTTATAAACGGAATGACAAAAAAATTCCTAGTGGAAAAATCAAAATTTGTGAAAAAATTGTTTTTAATTGGATTAAGTTTGTTATTAACAAGAAATTTTATCCAATTGTTCAAAACTTTAAAGATCAAGTCCAGTGAGTAATTATTTGAAATAAGAATGTTAATCATAAAATGCAAATTTTTCTCATGAAATTTAGGATGTAATAATAATGCTCTATCAGTCATACCGAATAGTTCCTATCTTTTGAGAAATAGGATGAGCTGAGTAAAAATTTAGATATCTTCCTGAAAAAGAACATTTATAGAAACAATCACAAAGAATTACATTATTAGAGACAATTAATTTGATATCTAAGAAACTGAAAGAAAAGTCATTCTGTATCTCCACAATGAATTTCAATCTTTCGTCATAATTATTAAAATTGTTTAGTAAGTCATTTAGTTTATTTAAAAATGCGGTCAAAATTATGTCATCAATGTACCTGAAATAAAATACCGGTTTGAATTTAAGTTGTTTTAAAACTGATTTCTCCAGATCTTGTATGACCATGTCAATAATAGGTGACAACGGTGAGTTCATAAAGACACCATAAATTTGTTTATAAAAGTTACTGTCAAAGAAGAAATAGGTGGGTGATAAAACAAATTCAATCGCTTCTAAGAATTTAGAGAGAGGAATCTTTATATTACTACGGATATGTTTTCAGCGTAATTTTATGCTTTTCAATGCTAAGTTAATAAACACATTAGTAAATAAGGAAACAACGTCCAAAGATAAGAGGATGTGCTCTTGCGGTAATTGAATTTCACTGAGCTTTTCAACTAAATCGAAACTGTCACGGATGTGGCTATCCGTTTCGGGAATACTTTTAAAAATAATTTTATGTAAAAATTCAGCAAATTGATGTACCGAACCGTTGATAGATGAAACAATGAGTCTATATAGAAAGCCCGGTTTGTGTAGTTTGGGCAAACCATAAGCACGCGGAATATAATTATCGCTGGATTTTATTGATTTATTAGTTAATTCGCTTATAAATTCATCCCGAACCCACTATCTCAACAACTGGTTGAAACGTATTTCAATCGTTCTAGTTGGATTCTTATTTACTTTTAAATAAGCTAGATGATCATCAAGCATGTCATTAATTTTTTTTAAATACTCAGCTTTGTCAAGCGCAACAGTGACATTACCCTTATCCGCGTGCGTAAATAAAATGTCAGGATGATCCTTACGGAAAATAGATACCTGTTTCGCTCTTAATAACAATTCACGTTCAATGACACTTAATTTCAGAGTTTTTATCAGATGATTAATTAATAGTGGGATAAGGTTAGATCAATAAGATTCAACAAATCTCTTATTGCATTGTCAGAGACTACATTCAACATCTTTAATAACTTCAATAAAATTTTTTTTGTTGATACTAGGTAGACTAAAATTCTCACCCAATTGTAAAAGGCTAATAACAGAATGTGGAATATTGTGTTCACTGAGATTTACAAACCAGTTGTTTTTTATTTTAAAGAGGGATGTAGACTCAATGTTTGACAGAATTGCTTCTGGTTTAATTAAGATCTTAATAGAAGCATTATGTTGTTCATTTATATTGTATTTAAATTTGTTATTCTTTGAAACATTTGACACTTTTATTTAAATAAAACTTTACTTTAACCACATTATCTTAGTTTTTGCTCGTATCGGCCTGTTTCTTTTTTATAAATATATATATGTACTGTATATACTTTACTATAATATATATATATATACAGGGTATCCCAGAATTGGTGTGACATATATTTCGTAGGTAGAAGGAGTAAAACTGAGTCGAAAAGTCCTGAACCATTTTTTTTCCATTATTTATAATAAAGGAGTAATTGTTGAGTAAATCAGGCCAATCAGCGCTGACCTTTAGCCAGGCGCACGTCAGTGAGCCGCGCGCCTGGTGTGTGTGACCACGTCGTAGTCTCCTCTTGTCAGTCCGCGAGACCACTTGTGTTCCTTACTAACACATATAATTATTTTTATATACTTATTCTCGAGCTATCTTACACATTTCGATTATTATTTATTTAAATTATTATTTTATTAAAATTATTGCACTGCAATATACCTAGAACAATGGATAAAAATATTTCTCTTATTATTGTTAATTTAAAGTACATTTTTACGCGAACAAATGTTTTGTTAATATATGCTGATTATACTGTTTAACATAGTTTTGAGACCTGAATAAACTTTTTTAATAGATTTTTGGTCGCTGAAAACAAATCCGGAGGCAAAATTAGCCTACCTGCTATCATGTCAGGTTTCCAAAAGACTTGAGGTTAAATGTGGCAAAATTAGCAGTTTTGGTCATATTTACTATTTTTTGCGACCAACTAAATGTGTTTTTGCAAATTTACTAACGCCACATTAAAGTGCTATTTTTTACCTATAATATAAATTTATATATTTATTACGCGTTACGGTTTTTTATATACATAATTATCATATTATAAATCATTAAATTGAATATAGATAAAAGTTTTATTAGACAAGAACGTACTTGAGTCACGCACTTTGGCATTTTACTTATTTTATAAAATTGTTTATTTCTTACTAATTATTTCTTACTAATTATTTCTTACTAATTGTTTATTTCTTACTATTTATTTCTTACTAATTCAAATAAACTTATATTTCATACATTTATAAATAATATCAATTTATATAACTGATTTATAATATGGTTATTATATGTATGTATAAACAAATTGTACGGTAATAAATATAAATTCATATTATAGATAAAAGATAACACTTAGATATGATGTAAGTAAAACTGCAAAAAACCAATTTACTTTGACGGCAGAATAATAGTAAATATAACCAAAATTACTAATTTTGGCACATGTAATCTTAATTTTTTCGAAAATCTAATGTAGTAGGCCAATTTTGCCGTCGGATTTGTTTTCAGCAAAAAAATCACTTAGAAAATATTTTGTTTATTCAGGTTTTTCAAAAACTATATTTTTGTAGAACTGTTATTATATTCACTTTTTATTAAATATTTAGCAAATGACATAAAAAAGTGTGTACACATATATGTACATTTATGTGTATTATTTTTAGTATAAAATAATTTTTTAATAAAAATGTTATGCACACACAACATTTTTTTGTACTTGATATAATACATATTAAGAATAAAGCGTCTATGTTTCAAACAAAAGTTGTAGGGGTTTTGCAACACCGTAGCAAAAGAGATATGTATTATATTTTATATAAGATTATATATTTCTTAAAATATTAGGATTTTAAATACTTGGTGTAAAATTGGAATTTCTTTTTTAATTTTACATCAAAATCTCAATTTTTGTCTACTTTAGAATTCCTGTATTGTTTCTGTTTAATCTTTACGCTGCCGGGATTTGGAGAGCTTTATTTCCCTTAGAAAATCTCTAAATGTTGTGTCTGTATCTCACATATAACTTATATAAAGTTCCGATCACAGGTAGCCTCTATATATAGACGGCAGCGAAGCCACCGTAAAAAATTAAAACATTTTATTTCGTTTAAAAGTCCGTTTCTTTAAGTTTTTGAGGTCACTTAAAACGATAGTGAAGTTAGTTTTTGTGTACAGTAAATTCTTAGGGCTGTATAACTCTCCTTCAGCGTTACCCAGAGTCAATGGCGGGACGTAGAAAGATATTGTGGCTCCATTTTTTTTTCAGTTTTTGTTCATTTTTTAATTCTTGTTTTGTTTTGTTATGTTTTTATCGCGTATTTGTTTTGTTTATTTTTAAATTTTTAAAATTTTTAAATTTTTTAAATTTTTTTTTTTTTTTTTTTAATTACTACCAAAACTGAGTATAGGATTATAATGTGTACCGAGTCCTTAGTCAATTGTAAAAAATTGAGCATGTAACATTCAGGGGCAAAATATGTATGCGCGCGCGCGTATGTGTGTGTGTGTGGAGGAGAGTGTATGTGTGTACATACAGTATATACGAGTACTTATACGTATTTATATATACTTCTTGTGGAAGTTTATGCATGTTTTGATAGGCTGCTCAACGTCTATATATAGACGGTCCGGCAACGTAAAGGTTAAATTTCCAATGGAAAAACTAGTTTTGAAATTTGCATGGAAGTTCCAATCGGAATTGTATGAGATATACCTACTTTAGGCATTCTACTTGAAATCTAAGGTTAATTTGGGGACATGTGGAGAAATTTTTATGCGGGGTGTTATGGACGATATATCAACAAAATGTCTTTAAGTAGATTCTTTATTCTAAATTTTTAAATGACAAATTATAAAGTATACGAGATATTTCGTTTATAGCACTTTTAATAATAACAAAAGTTGTGACGAGATATCTCGTTCGTAGTAACGAAAGGGTTAAGTACGGGAAGAATCTCATAGAGAACAGAAAAAATTGTAAGTTACATTTTGGTGGAGATACGAATGTATTATTAATTGTAATTTTTATTTATTTCTTTATTTCTTTTTAATTATTAATTTTATTACATACAAAAACTTTTTGTACTTATCTTTATTCTAAATATTGTTTCTTTTTTATATGTAACAAAATTAATAAGTACAAGCAAGAGTAAAGAAAGAAATAACAATAACAATCAGTAATACATTCGTATCTCCACTAAAAGATTAGTTATAATTGTTTCTTTTTTGTATGAAATTCTTCCCGTATCTTAATTCTTTTGTTACTATGAACAAGATATTTCGCCAACACGATATCTCTTATGCGACGCTTTAGACGAGATATTTCACATCACAACTTTCGTTATTCGAAAGTGCTACAAACGTAATATCTCGTATACTTTAATTTGTCATCTAAAAATTTAGAATAAAAAATCCACTTAAAGACATTTTGTTGATATCTCGTCCATAATACAGCACGATAAACATTGCAACGCAAGAATAAGTAAACAGACTCATTATCGACACATCTCGATATTAGAATTATTTAGTTTGATTAGCAAAACATAAGAGTAATCGCTCGTAATTTGCTACTCAAAATAAAACTTTCGCGTTCAGCCATCGTTAGTTTTTATCTGCCATTATGTATACGTTATATTATATGCTTGTGACCATTGTACGTGTAACGTCTCGCGTAACTATAATGGTTAATTAGAATTTTAAGAAATAGTTTAAGTAATAAGTTGCCAAGCGGAGACTAGCAAGCCTCGCGAGATATCTCGATCCAAATCTGATCACGTTGTTACGTCCTGGGGACTCCACGGGCCCCTTTTTCTTGCAACGTGACTTCCTTTTTTTTAGAAACAATAAATAACACGAACGGACTCGGACTTCGACGCGATAGGCGCGCAAATAGAAATCGTGTCGACGCCCGAAAACAATAAACCTAGCAACGATCCAAAAAAATTCCTTTGTAGACGATAGCGAACAGAAATTTTTATTATTGTTTAAACATCCCGAGCAACTTTCCAAACAAACCCGGATATCTCCGGGCCAGGAAGAACACCGCTCATAAAAATTAGACCAGCCGGAGCAAATAGAACTCCGGCGCCACGAGCAATTTTATTATATACAAATAGCAAAGGGTCTAGGTGGCGTGATCGAAAACCAACACTCTCTCTTTTCCCTTCCCTGGAAAATCGGACGAGCCGACCAAGCCGAGAGATCGTCGCCGATTGGCGATCTCACGAAGTTTACCCGACTTCTAACTAACAAATGGAAACTGGCGAAGCTCGACTGAGTTTTCCGATTGGGAGAGTCCTCGCTTACTCAAAACTGTATATAAGCCGGGACTCTCAGAACCGAGGGCAGTTGAGAGTCGCTAATCTAAAAGATTGGGAGTGCCGTGGTGCAACGAGTCGAAAGGTAAAGTTCGGTACCGTGAGTGTCAAAGCCGGAACACCGAAGCCGCACTGATATTCAACGCTCCACTCCCGAGTACCTGCAGCCCGACACCGCCGCCACTCAACCATCTAGTAAGTGTTTTAAGAAACCAATTGTTCACTGAGATCCCACGAACTAGAAATAGAGATTGAGGAAAAGAGAGAAAAACGATAAAGTCTCGCACGAATTAGACACAGCAGCCGCGGTACTGAACTGTTTAAGATAGCTTCTCCCCTCCTTCCTTGATTAGAAAGGATATCTGCGATCCTGAATCGCTCCGGACGACTTCTGACAGACATCCGCGGTTTTTGAATCGCTTCGGATGACTGCTGACAGGCGTCCGCGGTTTTGAATCGCTCTAGATAACCTCTGACTTCCTTCCTGAATCACGGAAACGAACAAGCCCGCTTATCTTCGAATATCAGTCTTAGAATCATGATACATCCAAATTTATTCCTATCATTAAATCTATCGGAACCTAAGAAATGAAACAAAACCGAATGTGTCAACTGACATAAGAAAATACATTCCTAAGATGATCTAAGTTGGGTAAACATGGGTTAAAGAGGCTGGCTGCACTAAACAACTTGTATTCCCTCTCTCTCTCACACTTGCACCCTAGCTTATAGATTACTTTGTACGAAACGATTATGCACTCCGTCATTGTATTAGTTTCAACACACCTGTATGTTAGTAATTTGCTAAGATTTTGATTTGTCTTTTTTTTACATAAATATAACTACTTTATATTGTGTGGAATCAAACTAAGGAATTATTCTTTGTTATCCTTTTTCCGTATAACCCACTCTCACTTCCTCGTTAAAATCGCTAGGTCCCGTCCTTGGTAAATGAGATTTGCGTCTCAGACCTAAAAAGAGACCAACGAGTGAGTGTTTGCTAGACAGAATAAGATCGGCGTACGCCGTTGACCTGTCGACGAATATAAACAAACTCGCTCGACAGCGGGAGTTCCGTGTCCACTGTAAAGAGAGATATGGAAATCGACGCGTTTACTGTTGCGTCACACCACAGCCCGACCGTATCCATGGGCCAAGACGTAACAACGTATTGTAAACATTAGACAAAACCAAGCCGAGGAACTTGAATTCCGATCAACTTTTACAGAAGGGGTATAATGAACAATAAGCTCTCACGCACGGATCACGTGCTCGCCATAGTTCTCGGCGCTTCAAAGAGACTACCATAAAATTTGAGAGGCAAAGACCGTCGCATGTTAATATAAACAAGATAAGAAAGACATGCGCCGACACCAAAATCTAAACAATCGATGACTCAACTGACTTAGAAATCGAACGTAGGCGGAGTTACTCGCCTTTGAGAGATCCGCGAATGAGAGAGTGATAATTCGACAGAAATCATGGAGGAGATAATTAAGGGACAAATCAAATGATAGAGATCAAGGAATCCCCACTCCCTGATCTCTGAACAAAAACTCCGGATTTTGGATCCGGATCGCAGTTTTGAAGCAGTTCTAAATCAAAGTTTAAATAAAAAGTCACGTCAAGCATTGCGAGCGCAAATACTTATAAATTGTAAGAAGTTGTACTCTGAGTACTACTTTGGAGACAAAATAAAGACATTTTTAAGAATTGGTTGCGATTCTTACATGCTGTTATATTAGCTCTTCCTGCACTGTTGCTACGGGTAACAACTGTGAGCGCGCAAAGCACGCTTATTTGCAGATCTTTATTAATTAAGATTTCGGTAATTATTGCGAATCGCAAAGTGGTAACAAATCTTTTGACTTAATATAATCCTCTTTACCTGTCCACGAGAGATTGTACGGCAATTCTGGGACACCCTGTATGTGTATATATATATATATATATATATCCCTATATATAAAATATAATGCGCTCCGCGCGACTCACTGACGTGCTCTCGGCTAAAGATTGGCGATGATTGACTTGATTTATTCATTAAGTAATCCTTTATTATATGTAATTATTAAAAAAAATGGTTCAGGACTTTTCGACTCAGTTTTACTCCTTCTACCTGTCTACAAGCGGTGTTTCGGCAATTACCAAACACCCTGTATATATGATATGTACAAATTTAGGTTATTACAATACATGATATAAATATTATACGAACCTGTTACCCTGAATCTGTCGGGAGTCAGGTTTCGGAGAAGGTCCTCGCCCAATAAAGTGCGCGTCGCTGTAAGACTTAAAGGTAATTAATCTGTTAGTACTTCGCAAATCGCTCGCAATCGACGACACACTAAAAAGTGATAGATCTGTAGTAACGCTCTCGTGACTCGGCGAACGCAACATCCGCGAGGTGACCTGCAGAGCCGGACATTGTGTGGTTACCAAAGTACTACTGTTTCCTTCATCACCTCCGCATTGTGCGCACATCACCGTAGGTATCGGCGAAGCTGGCTTTGTCTCGCTTTCGGACATTTTGTTCACACGTAATTTGTTGTTTGTTTGCCCATCTATCCTTTTCTTTTTCTTGTGCTTATTTTAAGCTCGTTCCAAAAGTTCTTCTTAGAATGACTGTAGCAGCAAGTTTATGTCATGCTGAATCACGTTTTGCGCTTCTTGTTTAATTCCTGTGTGCAACTACTGTGTTTAAATAATATGCAATATACGTATTACTATGTGTGTGTACACACACATACATAATATACAGGATGTCTAAAAACTTTTGACACAGCCGAAGTGTAAAAGTAGATTGGAGTTTGAATCGAAAAGTCATGTACCATTTTGCAAAATTTGCGAGTTATCGAATGATTAATTAATACATATAATCAAATGAACGCGTAAAAAACGATGATTTGGACTCTGTAAGTGTGTACGATTTTTATTTGTGAAAATCAGCTGATTGCAGAAGAAGCTGTGTCAGTCGCCACTAGCTTGTTTGCTTCTTCTTTTGCTCTCTTTATCTCTTAGGAGAATGCATAAAGTAAGCCATTTTTCTTTACAATTGAAAATCATACACGCCTACTGAGTCCGGACTATTGCTTCCCACGCGCTCATTGGATCACATGTATTAATTAATCACTCAATACCTATTACAAAGTTTGCAAAATGGTACAAGACTTTTCTCTTTAGATTGACCCAATTTTTACTTTCATACTTCAGCTGTGTCAAAATATTTCAGACACCTTGTATACATATACAGGGACCCGGTACGCTTCGCGCGCTCGCGGTATTACCGTAGCAACATATGGGAGGAGCTGATATAGCAGCTTATACTATAGCATATATAGAGAAGTGCACCATATCGTGCTACGTCAGGGGAAGTACAGCATCCTCCATAAGTTTGGAAACATCTTACGTTTTACAAATAATCGCATGACAGCGATCTGTGCATCCCAGCTAGCAAGCTTACGTGATAATGACGTGATTATGAAGTGATTTTGATGACTACGACGTTAAGTAATATAAATGGTATGTTATTTTAACGTCATTTGTAATATCAAAAGTTGACGTCGCCGATATGACGTCATTTAGATGTCGCGTTGACGTCATATATCAACTTATATATTGAATTTCAATATGACATCAATAGAACGATTAAATGACGTTCTAACAATAAACTTGAGTTATATTCAACCATTAATTATAATAATATGTTTATTAATAACATTTGTTTTTTGACTAATATTATATCTTGAAATACATTATTTATAAGTATAGCCATTTATTTATAGATAAATAGCCACGTATAATTTAGTAAATTGATTACCTTTATGTATTAAATTTTTTTGCGATTAAAAATAACATAATATATAATAAATATATATTTAATGATTACTAAATTAATTACTAAATTTATTGTAGTAATCTAAATTTTATAATAAGAACAATTATTATTAAATATTTCTTATTATTAAATATTAAATGAAATGTGTAGAATAGTTTGAGAATAAGTAAAGAAGAATAATTACAAACATGAAATCTTCGGTCATAAGAGCCAAAAATAATTACATTATAGTAAGGAACAAGTGGTCTAGCGGACTGAGTGCAGGAGCTGCAAATATGGATATCTCGAGTTCAAAAATCTCACCACTACCTTAAAATTTTTTCCGGGCCCGGTATCTTTCATCGAGCTAATCAGTTGATCGACAAACTGAATCAGATCTCCAAAAATTAATTCAAGTGAAAATCCGAATTAATTTTCCTTCTATAAAGCGTTGTTTTTTTTATATACAAGGTGTCTGATAATGACCGTATAACCGCTCGTAGGCAGGTAGAAGGGATTATTCTGAGTCGAAAAGTCCTGAACCATTTTTTTCTATTACATATGATAAAGGAGTAATTATTGAATAAAGTAAGACAATCAGCGCCGACCTTTAGCCGAACGCACGTCAGTGAGCCGCGCGCCTGATGTGCGTGAGCGGCGCTGATTGGCTTACTTTATTCAATAATTACTCCTTTATCATATGTAATAGAAAAAAATGGTTCAGGACTTTTCGACTCAGAAGAATCCCTTCTACCTGCCTACGAGCGATTATACGGTCATTATCAGACACCCTGTATATCATCGTAATATTACTGATGCATTTCGACGGTCATTTTAATATTACTGTAATGCAGTATAATATTACGTGCTATGTAGGATGTTGATACTACTATTCTTTAAGTGTTGTATTTTATTTTCTTTTTACATTTACAATAACGTGTTATTTTTGTGAATCTTTTTTGATTATAGTCACGTCTACTTGACGTAATATAATGACATCAATAAGATGTGACATAATCACGTGGTACGTTAAAATCACGTTATTTTTATGTCATAATTGACGTTTTGCAGATCAAATCTGACGTCATTATCACGTGAACTTGCTGACTAGGATGCTTTTGGTTTAGATATATTAAGATGTCTAAAATGATAAACATTTTTATCTACAAGTTTGTATATAGATATATCGAACAATCAATTCGTGGCATCAAAGAACTCAGAAATGCATTTTGCGTACTAGTTTATTGTTTGTTTATTGTTACTTGTTTCTCTATTGTTTTTGTTTTTCTTTATTTTCGATATTTGTTGTAGCTTTTACAATTTCTACGGAGTTTGAAATCAATCTGCGACTCGAATAGTTTACCACTTTTACAAGAACTATAATTAAACAACTTCTAACGATATACTGTTTTTCTGTATTTACAACGCAAACACAATGCCACGAAATAATTGATATATTTTCGGCATATACAAGCTTATAAGTGTTCTAGATAAAAATATTTATCATTATTTGGACGTCTTACAATTATTGTATTCAAACTGAAACATGCATAAATCGCTGTTATGCCATTGTTTACCTGTAAAACATAGGGTATTTCTAAATTTATGGAAGGTACTGTATTTCTTGAAAATTTATCTTCCAGGTATCCTTATTACCGCGCGCTGGAAAATTCTTCCTAGCTGTTCCTACTACTGCGTGCCGTTCTCCTTCGATCTTAGACCGCTGGCAGAGATCGAAGAAGAACGGCGCGCAATAGTAGGAACAGCCGGGGAGAAATTTCCAAAAAATATTTTCCCTGACGCGGCACGATATGGTGTACTTCTCTGTATATAATAAAAGATAACCGCGCGAAGCGTGCCAGGCTGTTTTAAGATGGGTCCAGACTTGTGTCATTTCATCGTATCATATCATGATCGCGTGTCATGATTAGCTAAGTGTAAACGAAATGTCGTATTGTGTCTCCGTATAGTATTTGCATATCAAAATGATACGTTACGTTACGACTATGATCCACTTGGAATCGATATTTTACCAAAACATCAAAGAAATGATATATGATACAGATACAATCAGTATGGACGCGATTTACACCGATGTATCGATCTTATCCTAATTCTATCTTAATGCTACCCTAATTTTATACTAATCTGACAGTGTAGTAAGACTTGTTCAGTCGTGTTTTGGTAAATATTGTTACGCTCGCAGGGGCGAGAAAACTCCTTTCGCCAGTCTCCGATACCGGCGCACGCACCGCGGCAAAGAAAGAACGCATCTTCTCTTTACAATACTTTATTAACACATTACCGATCGGTAGCCGATTAATCGGCTTTTTGTCGCCAACGCTTACCGACCGGTACCCGATTAATCGGCTCCGTGGCTGAGCGGCCGGTCGGACGTGCGTATGCTGTTGAAACGCTAGCGGTCGGTAAAATGTTAAAACACGTAATACAGCGACAATACAATTCCAGGCAAATTATTGAGGCGCGCTGTGATAGCTCCGAGCTTCGTGTCTTCTCTACAACAACTCCGTCGCACGACGACGAACAGACGCATCGCTCACGCGGTGTTCACTCGGCGTGAGCAACATGCACGCGGTGTCCGCAGCGTAACAATTTACAAAAACAAAGCACCCTCGCAAGTCAATGACAACCTTGATGTTGTCAAGAACACCTCTATGAACAGCAATCAAAACGTTTTAGCCGTCGCTTGTTGTTTGTTAAAAAGTTATAAACAAAAAAAGTTTTATAAATAAATTCCTATTTTCCTAACACCACGTACATTTTATTCATATTGTAAGCGTGTCGGCAGGAGGGGTTCACTCTCCTGCAGAAAAAATGAAGAAATTTTTATTTTATTGTTGTTCACGTTTTTTTAAATTGTTGTTGCACGTCGAGAGTGTATATGTTGTTCCTCGAGGGGGGTACAGGAAGAAGGGCACTCCCCTACACGCTTACAACACGAACAAGAAGAACATAAACAAAGTAGTCTCGTTAAGAGGCCTTGTAGCTTTTTTTGCTTGTTTACATTTCTCGTAAAAACTACTGCAAAAACTTTATTGAGGGTGATAAGAAACCACATTGCTTCTGAATCTATCATATACAGTGACTGTTAAAAGGCATATAATAACATCAATACGGTTACATTCATCATACAGTAAATCATAAAGCAAATTTTATAGACCTTCATACCTCAATTGTTTCACGCAAAATATAAAAAGAATCTGGCAAAATATGCAAAGTAATATTCCGCGTTTTGGAACATCAATAGAACATTACAAATTTTACATAGCTGAGTTTTTATTCAAACGTCGTTACGTACACAAGGAATACATAGACAAATGTTTTACAAAATGTCTGAAATATACCCACTAAATAAGATTGAATTGTGAACCAACAAATAATATTCATACTGTATTACAATAACAACAGACATGATTTTGTAAACTATTGCACATAATAAAGAAAAAAATGATACAAAATGTACATGGTGTCGAAATATAAACATTTATTGACGCAACTTCTTTTGTTTATAACTTTTTAACAAACAACGAGCAACGGCTATAATCTTTTGATTGCAGTTCAGGAAGGTGTCTTTGACAACATGTGTCAAGGTCATTGACCTCCGAGGGTGCTCCGTTTTTGTAAATCAAGAGGCACGCGGTAGTGCCTCGCGCCAAGTTCACGAGCAACGAAATGGCGCTTAAACTGCGCGCATTAAAAAGATTATCGTGATACACCTCAAGAGTATAATACCGCGAGCTACTCGCGCCTGGATTCATTGCGTTCTTTTCATTTTATTTCAAAGCCTAACTTTTGTAAGTAACTGTCCATACAGTGTTTTGTTTTGTGTATACACGCACTATAGATGTGTTTTGATTTGTGCGTATTTATTCATAGTACACGTTATGTATACTGTAGATTATGCGCGTATTTGCAAATCGTGAAGCTAAGCTTTCTGAAATTTAACTATACTATAGTAATTATAATACTTAATAAAATATTACTTTTTAAAAACTTTCCTAAATTTTGTTTTGACGCTATAGTGCAAAATATGCTTTTTACAACAATTGTTTCATAAGATTCAATGTTAAACCTCGCAACTTTGGAAATTTATATCTCGACTTTGGTAAAGCTGAGCCTTCTAAAATTTTTACATGTTGTACGTAATAATGTTATTTACACGTGGTAATTTTTTTAAAAACTTCTTAAATTGTTGAAAAATCACGATAACCCCCTTAAGAGACGCACCATGTCTCTTTTA